GAACTGCTTTTGCTATCTCCTGTAAGTTTTGGTATATTGTGTTTCTATTTGTGTTTGTCTGTAACTATTTATTTATTTCACCTTTGACCCATTGGTTCTTCAGGACTATGTTGTTTTATTTCCTCGTATTTGTGGATGTTCTAAAACTCTTCCAGTTATTGATTTCTACTTTCAAACATTGTGGTCAGAAAAGACACTTGATAATATTTCAATCTTCAAATTTGTTAAGATGTGTTTTGTGGCTTGAAGACTTTTCCAAAATGTACACTAGATAGGAATATATATTCTGCTGCTGTTGGATACAATATTGCATCATTTAACATTTTTTAAACAATATGATTATTAAATAACAGAATCTTGGAAAATATAAGATAATATGAATAAATATATTAACCTATTACTTTAGATTAACGTTACGGCGATGTTCTCTTCAAGTCTTTTTCTATATATAGCTTTTTTTTTTTAACATAATCACCTTATAACCTTAAGTAACCTCAAACATGAGGTAACTTCCTAATTTTTATTTTATACATCATAAACATTTTATGTATTTTTATTTAGTCTCTGAATGCATTGATTTTAATGGTCATAGATTTTTGCATCAAAGTCATAGAATATAATTTCAACCCATAATTCTATATTTGGTCATATATGCATTCCAACTTTTTTGTAGTAAAAAAACAGTGCCAATATTAACATATTTTTTTTTTAGTATTTAAATTATATGTTTGCCAGGGTTACCATAATGTAATATCAAAAATCAAATGACTTAGAATACCAGAAATTTGTTCTCAAAGTTCTGGAGGCTGAACATCTACTATCAAGGTGTTGGCAGGGCCATATTCCCACTGAAGGAACTAGGGGAGAATCTGTTGATTCTTCTCACCAAGTTTCTGGGAGTTTCTTGGCTGTGGAAGCATAACTAATCTTTACTTGATATAATTGTGTATGTATCTGTCTCCGAATTTCTCCTATTTTTTTTTTTTTTTTTTTTTTTTTTTTTTTAGACAAAGTCTCACTCTGTTGCCAGGCTAGAGTGCAGTGGTGTGATCTCGGTTCACTGCAACTTCCACCTCCTGGATGCAAGCAATTCTCGTGCCTCAGCCTCCTGAGTAGCTGGGATTACAGGCATTCACCACCACACCCAGCTAATTTTTGTATTTTTAATGGAGGCTGGGTTTCACTGTATTGGTCAGACTGGTCTCAAACTCCTGACCTCGTGATCTGCCCATCTTGGCCTCCCAAAATGCTGGGATTACAGGCGTGAGGCACCACACCTGGCCCAAATTTTCCCTTTTTATAAGAACACCAATTACATTGGATTAAGAGTCCACCCTACTCTAGTATGACCTATTTTAACTAATTAGATCTGCAGTGGTCCTATTTCTAAACAAGGCCACATTGTGAAGTATGGGGGGTTAGGACTTCAACATTTAAATTGGGGGAAGCAGCATACAATTCAATCCATAACAAAAATCATTTCCTTAGCACCAGTTTCCAAAAATGGAATTTCCATGTCAACAGTCTATTGATAGACATCTTTTGAAAGCTTTTTGAAACTTATAACAATTTTCATATTCATCAACGATGCATGATAGTGTTTGGTTAATAATATTCTCAACAGCTTTGGAAATTATTTTTAATATCATTAAAATCAATATCTTTAATCTTTGTTAATTTTATAATCATTAGGTGTAGCTTTAGTTAAATATGTATTTTGTATGTGTATTTACCATTGTTGCATTTTAATTTGTCAATTATCTGTTGTCTAAATTTAAAAATCTCATTCCATAGGTTTAATAAATATTCCTTTCTCTTTTTACTTGTCTTTCTTTCTTGATTCTATGTTTAAATCTTTAATGCATGTGGAACTTGGTGGCATATGTATGAGATCACGATACAGATGAATATTATAGATATTTAACCTGTTGTCCAAGCACCATTTACTGACTAGTAACTCCTCTTTGTCTTTAATAAAAATGTTTTCTTTTATAGTCATTAAACTCTTGAGTATAAGGGTATCTTAGTTATATTTTGTATTTCACTATTAATGTATTAGTTTGCTAGGATCATACTGTTTTATGTCTTCTGAATTATTAATATTTTTATATATTCATCTCATAATGCTTCTTTTATAAAGTCTTAGCTATTTTTACTCATTTATTAATCCGGTTACACTTAGAATTGTTAAATTTTCAGGTTACAGCAATCTGCCATTAGGATCTTGACTGTCACATCTACAAATCTATTATTATTCATCCTTTCTATATAGAAAAATGAAATATTTTCCTTTATTCAGATTTTTATATATTCCATGAAGTGTTATAGCTTATTAAAATTGTCCATTCCATGTTTAAGACATGTTTATTGGTTATCTCCTGTATTTCTGGAATCTGGTAAAAGCAAAAGAGAGAGACATTAAAAAACAGACTACCATCAAAGAGCTCAAATTCTGAAAGGATTGCAGATAAGGAAACTGGAAAAGGTTGAAGATTAGCAGAAAGAAATGCACATTGCACAATACTGAACACAGGATGAAAGCAGGGAGAAGTGTCACAAGTTTTCAGAAGGAGGGGTTTGTGCTTCAGCTGAGTTTTGGGACATGACAGACAGCTAGATGAGGATGGAGAACAGTTGTTTTATAGGAAGGAAGCAACAGTGCAAAGGCATGTAGATTTCAAAGAGCATGGCACAGAAATGTAACTTCAAGAATTTACTTGTGACTGAAGTTTATGATGTGAATGAGATATAATGGGTGATGAGACTGCATTTCACATGGATTTGATGTTCTTTCATGAGGGCACTGTGTGTTTTTTGTGGATTTTAAGGAGAGTGACATAATTTTGTCATTTTTAGAAAGATTTCAGAGCAGGATACAACAGGGAGACAAGAAAGTAGTCAAAGTGAACAAAAAGGGTTCATTGGCAATAAATATGTTCAATGAATGAATGAAACATTGAAACAATCAGTGTATTCCAGATGTAATAGCTGAAAGTAATTGGTGACCTTGTTAAGATTACGTTTATTTAGTGGGATGGTTGAGATGGAAGAGAGACATCAACCGGAGACAATGAATACAAATTACTCATTCAAAATATTGCATATTTTAAATCAGATTTTATTTCATTGTTTTTCAGATTAGTTGTTGCTAGTATATAGGAAATAACATTATTATTTTGTTTATGGGTTGACTAGTTACTCTGTTGGTTATTTTGTTCACTCTAATAGTTTTCCATGTGATTTTGTATGTTTTGATTAATAGATACAAAGTTATAGTTTTTGTAAAAATAGTTTTCTATTTTGTCTTCTATATTTATAGTTTATTTTCATTAGTTTTAATATATTGGCCTATGTTTTCAGAAAGAAGTGAAAATGATGCTTTTAGTTTTGTTTTCTTTTTCTGATGATGACTATTCCCTACTATTTCACACATAAATTGCTGACTTTAGTAGTAAGACTTTTTTAAAACATATTAAACTTAACGAAGACCCATTCTAATCCTATTCTAAGGAGGTTTAGAGAAACTACAAGGTTTTGATTTTTTATCAAATGACTTTTTGCCCACTATGAAAATTAAGATATGCGTTTACTGTCCAATTGATATGTCATATTAAATTAGTCATTTCACTATCTCGAATCATTCTTCAGGAACAATTTTCTTGGGTGTGGTATATAATTCTTTTGCACCAATGCTGAATTTTATTTGCTTTATTTTATATAGTATTATAAAATAATTATGGCCATAAGATTTGTCTTTAATACTTTACACTACATTTTTACCCTGTTTTGCATTTGAAGATTCAACCCTGAGATACTCTAAAATCTGCACCAAGACATTTTTTTTATGATGGTTAAGCAATCTATACTTGATGAGTCAAGGAGAGTAATGCTTTTCAGATTTTCATCAGTATGGGTCATCATTGAGCTGCATGTCATTGAACAAATTTTAATCTTTCCAGTGCTCACTTATATAAACAAGGGGTTTGAACTAAATCTCCAGGTTCACGTCAGCTCTAGCATTTTGCCAATTTTTTATCCATGGAGAAGATTCTCCAGTTTTATGCTAATAAGCAAAGATGGATTAATAAGCTTCAGAGCAATAGTACTGCGTAAGGTAGTAATAGACTATACCCTATGACCAGCCTATTTTAAATCTGGGTTTAAAAAATGATGACTCAGTAGTCCATTCTCCATATCCTTGGGTCTGTGAGCAGTTAGAGCAGAAAAATATTGGCCCTATGATTTATCTTAAATTGCATCTGAAGGCTGTTGAGCAAGCACCCTTCTCTGTTCTGTTCAGCTCACTTGAAACATTATATGTAAAGAGCACCAACTGTGAGATCAGGAGCCCTGGATTTGTGTCCCTCTTCTGCCATTTACTAGCTTTGTGATCTTAATCAAGCCACTTAACCTCCTTAGGCATCAGTTTTCTTATTCGTAAGATGGAATCAACTTAATCTTTGAGCTTGTAAGCTCTATGATATGAGAAGCCATACATAAATAATCTCTTAATAAAACAACTTTAATCCATAAGGTCATCTGATGTTTACTTTCCCAAATATTGATCTCAATTGATTCTGTCAACAATGTTGTGAGGCAATTAGTCAAAGTATTTGTGATCTTATTTCAGAGTTGGGTCTAGACTCTTGACTCCAAAGAATTTGGTAGCTTACTCAATGTGTCTAGTAAGTGGCAGAGTGCCAGCTGGAGCCCAGGACTTCTGATTCTTCAACTGTGTTTTTTTCTTAATATGACACATTGTCTTTCATTAAATCCTGTAATCACTTTTATACTTTTCAAGCCTTCTATTACATTTTCCAGCTCTTTAAATTATGAGAACCAACTGTCCTTGTTCCCTTGGGGCTCAACTTTGAAACTCTTGTTTATTTCTAATTTTAAACAATGTAACCTGTAATACTTTGTTCATGTATGTGTTTAAATGATTTCTTGAAAAGTACTCCATCTAACATTTATCCCTTCTTTTCCTGATTCTCTTTCAGATAACAGTTCTATGGATGAAAAGGTTTCAAATCATACTTATTCTTCCCTCCTGAGGGATCTTGTCTTTTGTACATGTTTGTTTGTGACATATTAGACCTGTTTGATTCCTGTTTTAGTTTTGAAACGTGCATGTTATCCCAGCTTTCCATCATTTGGTTGTCCTTTCAGTGTGCCCCTGATATGTTGCATTTCTGGAGAGGTCACACCTTGCCAGCTGCGCTTACCTTAGCTATACTTGCCAACCTAGGGGTCTGCTACGGTCAAACACAGCATCTTTTCTTAGGTCTGGCTAACCATGACCTTCCTGACTGATTCATGATCTTCACTGCACATATCAAGTTTTAAGGGCAAATAGTGGAATACGATATATTTTCCTGGACTCTGCCATTGCATTTGTTTAAATGCTGACCGCTAATTTCAAAACCTCTACTCATAAAAACACAGTAGCTTTGACTTGGAGCTGACCCTGCTTAGCATCTGTCATACTAGGTGTTACATGTGTAGTGCAGTTGACCTGTGTCCCAATCTCTTGTACATAAAACGGTAGCATGCTAAAACCTTCTTTGTTTTGTTTTTCTCTCACTCTTCATTTAAGGCTCGAATAGTAAGTGGCAGTGATGTGGATGCTTACAAATTCTCTGCACTCCAGGTGTGTGGTGGGTAAGTACCGTCATACCTTTCTAATTTATTCCATTCATAGGTAGCTTGGCTGTGCTCTCAATATATATGCTTTGAATGCAGGGTGTTGCATGATTAGCCTCATGTTGCTTTTTTTCACAGTAAAGTCAATATTATAGTATTTTCTTAAAAAATAATGTATACGTGTCAACCATAAAACAATTCTAAAGATATGAATATGTGTATAGTTATATATATATAAAAGTAAAGACCAGGCGTGGTGGCTCATGCCTGTAATCCCAGCACTTTGGGAGGCTACGGCAGGTGGAGCACCTGAGATTGGAAGTTCAAGACCAGTCAGAACAACATGCAGAAACCCTGTCTCTTTTTTTTAAAAAAAAAAAAAAAAAAAAAAAAAATAGCCAGTCCTGATGGTGCATGCCTGTAATCCCAGTTACTTTAGAGGCTGAGGGAGGAGAATCACCTGATCCTGGGAGGTGGAGGTTGCAGTGAGCCGGGATCATGCCATTGCACTCCAGCCTGGCAACAAGAGCCAAACTCCGTCTTCAAAGAAAAAAAAAAAGTAAAAATAACCTGACCAGTTTAACTGTTAACATTATCATTACATAGCCAAATTAAACCACATAATTTTACATACATGAATTCATATTGATACAATTAATGATCTCTTTCAATTTGCTTGTTGGCAATTAATGATATATGTGCATGAACATTTTTCATGTCAATAATTCAATGAATGTAATCTATATTATCTTTTTTCCACATTATTTTACCTCTGTTTTATTCTATAACATCTATTTATTAATTCAACATATAATACTCATTTGCTAGACATTTGTTTACTAGAAGTGTACCAAATAAAAATGAAATTTTCTCTGTTAAGGAATTTCCCGCTCATATTTCATTCTCCATCTACAACATCAAAATATGTAAGGTCAGAGGTCAGACATAGCTTTTTTCTGCCTATTCTTGACTTTCATAAAACTTTGTACATTGTTTTATTATAGTGCTTATTACACTAAAGGTATTTGGATGATTATAACTAGTTTTCATTATTAAAATGTGAATCCTCTGAGGAAAGTTTATCAGTTCATCAGCATGTTTTCTTTTTTTAATTATACTTGAAGTTCTGGGGTACATGTGTAAAACTTGCAGGATTGTTGCATAGGTACACACATGCCATGCTGGTTTGCTGCCTCCATCTGCCATCACTACATCAGGCATTTCTCCCAGTGTTATCCCTCCCCAACCTCCCCACCCCCTGCTATCCCTCCCCTATCTCCCACCCCTCAATAGACCCTAGTGTGTGATATTCCCTTCCCTGTGTCCATGTGTTCTCATTATTCAGCACCCACTTATGAGTGAGAACATGTATGTTTGGTTTTCTGTTCTTGTGTCAGTTTGCTGAGAATGATGGTTTCCAGCTTCATCCACATCCCTGCAGAGGACAAGAACTCACCCTTTTTCAGGACTACATAGTATTCCATGGTGTACATGTGCCTCATTTTCTTTATCATTGATAGGCATTTGGATTGGTTTCAGGTTTTTTACAATATATTATTATTTTTTACAGTTGCATAGTATTGCATTTAACATAAGTATCAAAGTATTTAAAATTTAATCACAAAAATAGTGTATAAAATTTATTTTCTATGTAAAAAATTCAAACAGCCTCATCTTTAATGCTAACACTTACACAGTGGTGTCAGTGTGGCGTGAATGTTCATAGGCATTTTTCTGAGTGTTTGCAATACATGTCTATGTTCATATAAAATAAATAGTTTTGACGTTTTTTTTTTTCATTTTAATGTAAAACAATCCACTCTGTGTAAAGAAATAAGCATGAATTTAATGGTGATTTTGTATCTGGTGCTGTTATAATTGTTCTCTATATAATGACTCAATCTTTACAATGGCCGTACAAGGTAAGTACTATCTTGACTCTCATTTTACAAACGAGGAAATTAATCCACAAAATGCTTAAGAAATGTTCCCTTAAGACAGCTAGTGAGTGGCAAAGTCGGTATTCAAGTTTATCTAATTCCAGAGTCTATAATCTCAGTCTAAATGCCACATTGCCTCTGCAAGTTGCTGGGTTTTTTTTACCATTAATAACAAAGGCCTCAGAAAACTTTCTACTTTATTATTTCGAAATGATGCAAATAGTTGAAAACATTTATACGACATTTCTTATTATTCTTTTGGTGGACTTTCAAAATTATTTCTAATTCATAATTGCAAATTATGACATAACTATAGATGATACTATAGTAAATATAATAGATTTTGAAAGTGTAATTTGTGGATCAAAGCTTATACACAGTTTATATATTCATATATACCTCTTTTATGTTGACATATATATAGATATTTCTATATAATTTATTATATATCTACAGAGATTTTTTTAATTGACACTGGGTTTTGCCATGTTATCCAGGCTGGTCTTGAACTTCTGAGCTCAGGCGATTTACCCACCTCGGCCTCCCCAGGTGCTGGAATTACATGTATGAGCCACTGTGCCTGGCCGATAATTTAAATATATATACATATATATGTATATTAGATATTTTATAAATGTTGACATTTAAATACATTTGTGTACAGTATAAATAGAAGCAAAATTTAGAGCCTTGTTTTAGTTCTTTATCTTGGGAAAAAGTTTCAGTTCTGTTTTATAATACACTCATTTTTTGAAAATCAATTTATTGTTAAATACATCCACATGTCACTGATTTTAAATAAAATATTTGTCAGATTTAAAGTTTGAAATTTAAAGCTTCTACAAGTTAATATATGTATCATTTTTATTTTTATTTTTCCATATAGAAGTGATTAAGAGGTTATTTCTGTTAATTCTCTAACTTCAGTGTCCTTAAAATAAATATGTGAAGAATTACTCTTTCATATTTTAATGTCATAGTAATTTAAATAAGCTATAAAAGCAGCTGTGGTAAAAGATCACTATGAATTATACAGAGAAATTCAGGTAATAAATAGACTACTCTCTATACTACAGTACTGTGAATACTGTGTCTTGAAGTTTACAGCAATAATAATTTGACAACAATGAAATATTTGTCTTAGAAAATAATTAAGTTGAATTCTAATTTAATTATGAAAAATGTTGTTATATAGTGTCATGCATCTGGAGGTTTATCTAAGTTTATGATGTTATAGATTCTATGCCTCCTCCTTACCTACAGCATCCATCACTTTGTAAAACTTTGATTTGCTAACTCCCGTCTGAATATGGACTTTATCCCTGTCAGAGCGACAGAGTTAATCTACATTCATGCTTTTGTTAAGCACATGCAGTATAAATGCCTGGCTAAAATACCTCCTCTTTACATTTTGAATAGATGTTTCCACATTGTTATATTTTCTGAAAATGCTTATTTCAATGACTTTCTAAGGGATTTTGGAACTATGATAGTATGGGAAAGGGTTGATAATTTTCAGTCATCAAGAGAATTTGTCATTGCCTGAAGGCTTATTTTCTCTTAAAGAACCTGAAGGGTACCTTTACATATGATCCTTCAATCACAAGCTCTTTCAGAAAGATGTACTTATTTTACTTTTTCTATAAATATTTTTAAAATAAAATACTATTTAAATATCACAAGTTATATTATACTAAAAAAACTAAGACTGGAACAGACTCTCAAAATACAGTTTTTGCTTTTTTATGATAATGCTGCTAAATCTTTCAGATTTTCACCTTTTCCATCCCCAATCAGCTCAGAGCCAAACCACATTCATCCTTCCCTTATTCTTCTCAAATGTCAATAAACAATCTATACACACTAAAATCAAATTATGAAGCTATACACACTGAAACCAGATAATGACATTAATAACTCGACTTTCTGATTTCTACTTAGCTCTCTGTACATTTTCTGTAAGAAAATGACATGTCAGAAAAGACATGACAAATTTCTTTCTGTTTTTCCTATTTGTCACAATAAAAATTCAGTCAAGCTCTGGGGAAAAACTGGAAGAGGGAGAGAGAAGAGGTGAACAGAAAAGCAAAGGAAGCAGGAGAAAGTGAGAAGGATATATGTTTTGGTGAAATCAGTGAATTTAACATTTATACCCTTCAGTGGTTTTGTAAGATTTTGTTGACTTTTGTCATCTATGCAGCAAAGAGTCATAAAGAAAGCACACAGGACCACAGTATGGAAAGTACACAAGGTTTATTGGGCAGAAATGTCTCAGTCATAAAACAAAGAGACAGCAGAAGTAGGTGAGAAGGCCCTTTGGACCATGACACAGTTGTGACATTTGCAAAAGTGTATGGAGCAGGAAGGAAAATTGGGTATGAAAAGTCTGAAATTGACTATAATGAGGCTAAAAGAAAGTCATTCAGACAAATGGAGAGAGAAGTTTGCTTATCAGAGGAGTCTTTCATTGGGTACAAGTAGCCAGCTCTATTATCTCCACCAAGTTTAGCCATTGGTTGGGAGAAGCTTGGAGAGAGTGTAGCCTTGGGGTGTATGCTGCAGATACGGGAGGCGTGCAGCTGGAGTCTCTCACCCAACTATCCTGCTGTCAGCGGATTCTCTGTAACGGATATCTGAGTCATACATGCCCATGGTTACCCAGTATCAATTTGATGAAACTACTTTATTAACTGATCGTGAACAAAGTCACATGAGTACCTTCTCCAAATGTGAAACATGTTTTTAATTAGAATAACACTCCTTTGGTACTTTGATGGAATATGACTTAAGTTTACCTTTCCCTTGACATTTGTAGTTAGAGCTCCACTGGTTGAATTATAAGAAGCATCGCAAGTGTGTGTGTGTGTGTGTGTGTGTGTGTGTGTGTGTGTGTATTCTCAAAGTACCAGCTTTCCCTGCACCAGAATTAGGGCAAGTCTATTAAACAGTTGTGGGATTAGGGAAAAACAGTTTGGGGAGGATATTATCATCTTTAGTTTCTTTCTTATTAAAGTTCTTCTCTGCAGTACAATTCTCATGACACTAAGTTCCTTAGCCTATGTGAAGCAAAGTTCATCC